GACAAAGGTTTGTTTGGCTTGCTTGCTTTGTTTGTATCAATGTTTGCTCAAGTATTGTAATTAAGATTGACATCTGAAAATAACATAAAAAGGCGGATTTAAACTTGTATACATTATATTTAAATTTGATTGGACATTATCAAATAATCAAATTTACCTATACACAGGTTTAACTCCGCCTACTTATATTGTTTTAACATGTCAATATCAATTACAATGCTTGAGCAAACATTTATACAAACAAAGCAAGCAAGTCAAACAAACCTTTGTCTTGCTAGCATTATGAAAAGAGCTGTAACAGAGGATATCTTAATATAAGCAATTTGTCGTCAACATTTAGCCAGCTATTAAAACAGGTTAAACCCATCATTTTTCTTCCCTTATGTTCATGTTTCAAGACAGGAATATAACAGTTGTTTTCCAGTCATTTCATTGGTTGATATTTGATTTTGTCAGTTTTTATGGACTTCCCCGTTTTGAATTCAACTAAAAAGTTTTTTTATATAAATTTTTTTTCTGATACAGGAAGGAGGATTATGTGGACAGAATACCATACAAAAGTATGCCAGACTAAAAACCGTTATGCCAAATGCCATCATAGGCGGGGCATAAAAACACAAATTTTCTTAAAGTGAAAAAATCATGAAACTGACTAATGATTGCAATTATCAAGTGAAATTTTTAAACCATCTGCATCTCTTAAGTGCAGACAATTATGTGGCAGAGTTGTTACGCCAAATCTAGGGATTTGAAAATTTTGAGGTGCAGTTTGGGCCTCATAACTGGAGATATTTTATCAACATTTTTATTGACGTTTTCGGTGTTCAATTTGACAATAAAACTACATAATTCCCATTTTCTATGATAACATTATAACTTAACAGTAAAAATGTAAAACTCAATTTTGCCTTTGTTATATTAAACATTGCTTTGAACTCCTTTTAACTTAAAAAAAAAATATGAAGGAAAACACGATTTTTCAAATATGTAGAAGTTAAAAAAAAAATTTAAGTAAACATAAAAAAAAAAAAAAAGCTAATACTAACAATGACCACTGCCCTTTCCTCGATCTTGATATCTATATCATTAACGGAAAGCTTAATACTAAAATATATGATAAAAGAGATGATTTTTCATTTCCTATCGTTAATTATCCATTTTTAGATGGTGACGTTCCCTTGTCACCATCTTACGGTGTTTATATATCTCAACTTGTACGATTCGCTCGTGTATGTAACAATGTTTTAGATTTTAACGAGAGAAATGTATGTATTACTGAAAAATTATTACACCAGGGTTTTCGATATCACAAACTAGTCAAAACATTTACTAAATTTTATCATCGGTATAAGGACATCATTCGTAAATATAGCTCAACATGCAGACTTCTTATACGTTCAGGTATTTCACATCCAATTTTTTATGGAAATATTCTTTATAAAGCACAAAAATGTCAGTATTCACCTCTGAAACTAACAAAACCTTTAAATAGACTTATTAAGAAGGGATATAGTTACGATACTGTTGTCAAGTCATTAAAGATTGCATATTTTGGCGTTGATATTGATTCACTTATAGGGTCTTTGCATCTGCACTAAACACATTTATTTAAAAACCAGTTGTTGGCATGACACGGGTTATGTTCTTCTCATATATGTTATGATGGTATGATACTAAACCCCTAACGGGAAGGATTGTGCCTGATATTCATATGATGAAGACATAATCTTTCAATCAGTTTAATTGAAGTCTGGAGCTGGCATGTCAGTTAACTGCTAGTAGTCTGTTGTTATTTATGTATTATTGTCATTTTGTTTATTTTCTTTGGTTACATCTTCTGACATCAGACTCGGACTTCTCTTGAACTGAATTTTAATGTGCGTATTGTTATGCGTTTACTTTTCTACATTGGCTAGAGGTATAGGGGGAGGGTTGAGATCTCATAAACATGTTTAACCCCGCCGCATTTTTGCGCCTGTCCCAAGTCAGGAGCCTCTAGCCTTTGTTAGTCTTGTATTATTTTTAATTTTAGTTTCTTGTGTACAATTTGGAGTTTAGTATGGCGTTCATTATCACTGAACTAGTATATATATTTGTTTAGGGGCCAGCTGAAGGACGCCTCCGGGTGCGGGAATTTCTCGCTGCATTGAAGACCTGTTGGTGGCCTTCTGCTGTTGTCTGTTCTGTGGTCGGGTTGTTGTCTCTTTGACACATTCCCCATTCCCATTCTCAATTTTATACATATAATTCATGTGAACTGGTTGAAGGCCTCACTGTGACTTTGAGATGAAGAACAACAAATAAAAATGCTGTTACTTTGCTTTAAGTGTTTTTTGCTGTGCGTATACTGATTTTGTGTCATGGATGGATACCCCATATCCTTTCTTTTCTATTAGATTTCACTATCTAGTCTACTCCATAATAAGCTTTACTATTTGTATTTGGTTTGTTTCACATGTAATATGCAACACATCTGTTCAGATACTAAATTCTATACACCAATCTTGGGTTGTTTTTTTATGAATGAGTTACACCAGTTAACCCCAGGTCAATCAGTGTAAATGATGCCCCTGAACACTTGGTTCTTTAATACTGTGTTTTAATAACATAAGCATTATATTGTGACATAGGAAATGTACTGCAAAGTGCACAAATTCTGAAGTCCTTGTTCATCTTCTTCTAAAGTACTAATACTGTAGTCTAACAACATATTCCATAGTCAAAATGTTTTATAAAAAAGTTATAAAATCAAAGCTTAATAATTGATTGTACTAAATAATTATTTCTGAAAAGGTGAACATCCACCACATTTAAAGCTTTTTAATTAATGTGTTAAACTATATGGTGGTTGGGTTACTGTACCGGAATTTAGTTACATCAATAAATTTTTCAGATTTTATTTTAAAAATTAAGGTGAATGGACATGTTGGTATCTAGTAGAGATCACTACCATTGGTATGACCCATAATAGATGAACATGACAACATACCTTTTGTCACTACCAAAAAGATTAGGGGTCCCAACAGCTATTTTGGCATGCTCATCTATTAATATGCTTTTTACTGGTTTCAAACACAATGTTGATTGTTCTGTGTTAATAATGAAACTTTTATCGGGAATGCAAAATTTTAGCAGTTACCTTTTTCTCTGGAACTTTACATCCTTTATACGAAAACCATACAATGTATGAATCTAGAATAGTTCTACCACCAACATCAAAAACACTATACACTTTTACAGTGGGCATTAATATTTGGCTTCACAATCTTATTTAACAATATATACTATCCATGTCCTTTTTGCCTTCGTTAAAAATAAAATTATCAATCGTGAAAAGTCACTTTCCATCCTATCCATTCCAGTTCAATCACTGTCAATGGATCTAGGATTTTTGAAAGGGGGGCTTAATTCCATAAAACTGATTATATACCGCCAAAAATGTTTTGAACAATTTTAGGCAAAAAAGTACATATAAATCATGAAAAAAAATGATATGATTATTTCTTTTGACGTATAAAGAGGGGCTACTCCCTCTATGCCTGCCCCCGATCCCCCACTGACTGACTGTATACATAATGCAGGACATTAAGACACTATCACTTAAAATCTAAAATGAGCTTAGTACCACATCTATTTATTTTTATATTAAGATGACCATATAAAAATAAGGAGATGAGGTATGATTGCCAATGAGACAACTATCCGCCAAAGTTCAAATAAAGTGGGTGTAAGCAATTATAAGCCTTCGACAATATTAGAAAAACCCATACTGTATAGTCGGCTATAAAAGGCCCCAACATGAAAAATGTGAAACATTATTCAATTGAGAAAACTAACGGCCTAATTTATAACAAAACAATTTACTGTCCATTATTATAAAAAAAGACATATATTGTAGTATTACAAACTTGATTATTTAAAGGGTAAATAAATATGTCACGCACATACATAAGGATGGATAAAAACTTCATATAATAAAAAACCCAGGGTGTTTCTTTACAGTTCATATGAAGGTTAGCACAAGCTCGGCAAAAGAAAACATATTGTGTTTATCATGTTTATCTAAAACTAAACAGTTTCTTATAAAACTTGCTTACAGTGGTATAAAAAAATCAGTATATCAGGTACATGTACATGTAAAAGGTAAAAAGACTATAATTTTAAATTACTATAAATTAAGAGCATTCCATATATGCCAGTTCTGTGATATTGTAGTTAGTTATATTTACCACTTCCATCAAACCTGGTTATTACTTACAGGTATTGATTACTGCTTATAACTAGGTAAGCATGGTTACAATTGCATGGTCTTGGACATAATAATATGGTTTAGTTTACTATATTCCTAGCAGAGATATTCAGAGTAAAAGACACACTTTTTTACTCACATTTTGTAAATATAAAATATGGGTCTCTTATCATTGAGAAAATATGTCTTTGTATTTATTTGTCTTTGCTTATTTTTGTATTTGTATTTTGTAAATGTCAGCTGGTATCATTCCTATTGTATCCTTGTCATTGTCCCCTGAGGGACCTTAATTGGAATAAAAACACATATTGTATATATCTGTATATTGTATATATATATATTGTATTCTGTATTCTGTTATTGTTATACACCAATAAAATTATTTTATTTCTCTTTTATTAATATGAATATTTCTTCATTAAAAAAAAATGCACAAACAGAAATGGCCCTGATGGTTCTATATACCATTGCGTCCGACTAAACATTGTGTAATTTTACTGAATGTCAAGGATGACATATTACTGAGGGGGTCTCTTCTGTCCGTGGTTATGTTACGGTCATTGTTGATATCCTTTCAAGTTATGCCACGTTTGTTTTTAAAATATTTATCCGCAATGAGGAATATTGTGAAATTCGTTAAATTATATTTAAGTATCAGTTATTAATGAATAATTCAAAACATATCTTGTGTCATTGATTATTTTATAATATGATATGATTATTAAAACTTTTGATAATCGAAGAACTCTTTTTTTGTGGAATAATATCCGCCGAGGTGTTGCAGGTCACCAAAATAAACATCTAAAACGTGATGAAACATACATCATGTCAAGTTCCATGAAAAGTGGCATGTAATTTAATATGAAGCTTATCTTAATTTTGAATCTTTTATTTTTACATGAGTTTGTAGCGATAAATTATAGTGGTGGCCCTGTGAATGGCAATTCAGAGGGATGTTTTTGTAAGGTAAGGCACACTTGTTTTTTTTTCTTCTTCCGTATTACAGTACATGTACATGTCCAATAAAAGGATGATGATTAATTATTCCCCCAAAAAATATAATAAGGAAAATCCCTGCTACATTGTCCAGTTTGGTAGGATAGTCAGGAGCAGGTCCACAGTTCAAGAAAAGAAGAGAGCTTAAAATAATAAATGCCCATATAAAGGGTTATTGATTATAAAGATATTTTTTTACAATGCCTGGTGATGGTAAATGCTCCATGACAAGTTCCCTAGGATTATTACACAATTGAAAAAAACATTGGTTGTGACAGTTTACAATTTTATTTAGGGGCCAGCTGAGGACCACCTCCGGGTGCAGGATTTTCTGGCTGCGTTGATCATGAAGACTCATTGGTGGCCTTCGGCTGTTATCTGCTCTTTGGTCGGGTTGTTGTGTCTTTGACATATTCCCCATTTCCATTCTCAATTTTACCATATTTTTTATATATAATTATACAGTAGTATATTTATACAAAAAGAAGAAGATGTGGTATGATTGCTAATGAGACAACTCTCCACAAGAGACCAAATGACACAGAAATTAACAACTATAGGTCACTGTACGGCCTTCAAAATTGAGCAAAGCCTATACCACACAGTCAGCTATAAAAGGCCCTGAAATGACAAATGTAAAACAATTCAAACGAGAAAACTAACGACCTGATTTATGTACAAAATAAAGAACAAAACACAAATATGATATAAAGCAACAAACGACAACCACTGTTATGTCCATTTTCATGAATTCCAAAATATTTTTTTTCCAGTAGAGAAGATTGCCTCACAGGGATTTCATGACATAATGTCATGAATGTCGGTGTTGTTTTTCAATGTTTACCGGTACATGCAATATTCACCATCAAGCAAATAATGCCTCCTAAAATCTCTGAATTTAAGTCCAGACGTAGTTGCTGCATCAACTAATCTTCTTATCCCTTTTATTATACATTTCTTACATGTATGCTGCTTTCTCATACTTCTTTATGTTAGATCATGGGGTTGTCAGCTCATCTTTCAAATTATTACATATAGATATAAAATGTCCTAAACCTTATGTAAACGTCTGTCATGTCTGTTTGTCTTTTTCTTTTTTAGCCATGGCGCTGTCAGTTTATTTTAGACTTATGAGTTTGAAACTTTAAATGTCCCTTGGGTATCCTTTTCCTCTCTTTAAAGATATTTTATTGTCATTTATGAGATTCTGTGTTGTTTTAACTGAATTTGACCTTCTACATTAATGTCTGTAATATGTTAGTTCCTGATACCAGTCTAATATTAATTTTGCTTTTTTGACTTCAAGGTGGCAGTTTAAAAAAGATTTGAACATTGGATTTAGTTTGTCCTGCATGTTCAGGTTATCGAGATAACAAAATGAGAAGGAAAAGCTTTTTGTGTTCAGAGTATGACATTTAAGGTTGCCCATAATTGCCAGAGACAAATAAAAGTCCTTGTGCAAGTAAAAGCTGCAGTGTACTTGTTTAATGGGGAACCAAAAAACTGTTGAAAACATGGGAAAATACTGAATCTTTTGTCATCAAATCAGCCTTGACAATATAGTTAAATTTACTAATTTTTAGTAGACCCCATATTTTCTCTTTCTAACTATAGCCATTTTGATAATACTGGCCAATCAGTTTAAGGTTTGGTTGTTGCCTTTCATTTTTGTGGACAATCCTATTAAAGCAGATATGCAGTTGAATTAAACAATAGAAATAGAACTCTCTATTATTGAAGGTAAAACATGTAAAGACCAACCAAATCTGCTTTTTAGCTCACCTGGCCAAAGGGCCAAGTGAGCTTTTCTCATCACTTGGCGTCCGTCGTCCATCGTCGTTCGCTTTTTACAAAAATCTTCTCCTCTGAAACCACTGGGCCAAATTTAACCAAACTTGGCCACAATCATCATTAGGGTATCTAGTTTAAAAAATGTGTCCGATGACCCCGCCAACCAACCAAGATGGCCGCCATGGCTAAAAATAGAACATAGGGGTAAAATGTAGATTTTGGCTTATATGTCTGAAACCAAAGCATTAAGAGTAAATCTGACATGGGTAAAACTGATTATCAGGTCAAGATCTATCTGCCCTGAAATTTTCAGACAAATCTGACAACCTGTTGTTGGGTTGCTGCCCCTGAATTGGTAATTTTAAGGAAATTTTGCAGTTTTTGGTTATTATCTTGAATATTATTATAGATAGAGATAAACTGTAAACAGCAATAATGTTCAGCAAAGTAAGATCTACAAATAAGTTGTCATGACCAAAATTGTCAGTCGACCCCTTTAGGAGTTATTGCCCTTAATAGTCAATTTTTAACAATTTTTTGTAAATTTTTGTAATCTTTTACAAAAATCTTCTTCTCTGAAACTACTGAGACAAATTTAACCATACTTGGTCATAATCATTATTAGGGTATCTAGTTTAAAAAATTTGTCCGATGACCCCGCCTTCCAACCATCATGGCCGACTTGGTTAAAAATAGAACATAGGGGTAAAATGCAGTTTTTGGTTTATACATGTATCTCTGAAACTAAAGCATTTGGAGCAAATCTGACAGGTGGCAAAAATGTTCATCAGATTTAGATTTATCTGCACTGAAATTTTCAGACAAATCAGACAACCCGTTGTTGGGTTGCTGCCCCTGAGTTAGTAATTTTACAAAAATTTTGCAGTTTTTTGTTATTATCTTAGATATCATTATAATATCTAATATCTAATACTATTAATTATGATTTTAACCTTATTTTACATGATTTCCAAAGCATCAGTAAATACAGGTGAGCGACACAGGCTCTTGTTAACACGTTTTTATGGTCATTAACTTATTTCACAAATGTTTGTGTCCCTTGCTTTGTCCTTTAAATGTATAAAACAAAAACAAATGATACATTATCTTACTTCAGATTACTTTTATTTTAACATGTTTAAAGCTAAATGATGATGTACAAATTTGATATTAATCAAAATTCACATTGCTAGAAAACTTTTTTGTGGTTAAAAAATGATTGTACATACATGTATATGAAAACAGGGAATGTCAGCTTACGATGTGGAAACTTTTTAGTGTTATTTCTTAGAAATGAAAACCTGAATACTTTGAAATGAGTTGGTGTCCATACAGGCAGTTTAGAAATTTCTTAAATAAGTACAAACTTTGGACAAGTATTTTTCTCTTACAGACGAGTAAATTATCGTGGGCATTTGCCTAAAGTGCAAATTGTTAAAAAAAACATTAATCTGAAGAGTGTATCAGCGTCTCTTGTAAGAATATATATATTTGAAAATTGTTATGATCTTCATCATGAATCATAAATGCTATGATGTCCGTCTAAAAAGATGTGATTAATATCGTTTTTTTATAACACTACCTATATACATTGTATATATATATAGATATGTGGTAATGTAATAAAAAAATGACCAAATGATATTATAGCAATTCTGCTTTTATATATATAGTTTTATAAGTTTCATAGTTTTGCAGTTGTGGAAATGCCAGCTTACCAAACCATACTAGTAGACATTGTAACAGTATAGAATGCAACATTTTGTTGCAGGTGTTTAGAAAATATGTTACATGTACATGTACCACCATCATTAAATTGATTAATATTGTTGTCATTTCTAATAGTTTTTGTATTAATCATATTGATGGAATAAAAACATATTGCTAAAATCATTTGTCTCATCCTTCAATATATGAAATAATCATTTCAATGATAAAGCAATGCATTGATATCACACCATACTTAGCCATTGTTATCACTAAGTGTCCATCCTATACTTGTTTGAATGAATTATATATTCTTGTGGATTGACCAGTAATTCTAATTTTGAATTAGTCAATTCAAAGTTTTGTTTCCACATGTGTACAATAAAACATACGAGCAAAATCATTTCATTGAAGTCTCTGACAAAGATCTTTCTTATTACGGTGCATCATGTAAGCAGTAGAGCTAAATAATATATAAGTTCCCAGTGAATCCTCTGGTTAGTTAAATTTTTGCTTTTTTCACTGAAAGTACTTTTCAAGGACTTAATTGTGAAAAACCTTGTAGGAATGATTTATGGAAGGTCTGAAATAAAATATATTTTCTTTTTTCCAATGATTTAAAATTTGGTAATTACAAGAGAAGCAAATCTTTTCAAACTTTATAGGAATGAATTATCCTTTTTTGTATTTTTTTGCATGACAAATAAAGAATAGTCTCTTGAATATTAAGGATGTTAATAAAAGTATGATGATTAGATATTAGGAGTACCTCTAAAAAGATTCTTTCTGGAAATTCCATTGTATTCTTTTCTTTGATAGGCAGAACAAATCGACACATCAATGATTCAATCTGATAAAGAACATATCAACCATAGCTAGGCAGTTTTTTATTTGGACAGGACTGATTTTTTCTCTCTGAAACTATCAGTTATATATGTTTTAAACAGAAAGAAATGATAACCATAAAACAAGGAATTATTTGAATCTTGAATAAGTTAAATTTCTGGAAAATTGATAAGAATTGTATGATGAAAACTAACCCAATTAAGGAGGGTTAGCCATGCATGCATGGGTAAGGGGGTCAGTTAGTTTATACTGAAATATCATTGAAAGTGTCCCTGAACCTTAGCCATGTGCACATTGCTAACCCTCTTTAGTTGGGTTAGTTGTCATCATACATTTTTTATCAGTTTTCCAGAATTCAAAATTATTCCAGATTAAAATAATTCCTTGTTATAAGACCTGCATGGTAATCCATCAATTGTGGGGAATCTGTATATATATATATTTGTACAAAAAAATTAGTAGAAGGTGAAGTGAGCAACACTGAGGTCTTGTTTTGCGTATTCCACCATATAATTTTCCAAAACTTGTAATGCAATAAAAGCATAACATGTATTTTCTTTGAAAGAAATTATGATGAATGTATAACATATAGACCGAAAGAAAAAACATGTAAAGAAAAATCAAAACATTCTAATCAATGTAAAAAACTGATGTCAAAATATGTTTATCATGCGAAAATGGTTTTGACAAATTCAGATATTGTTATTTTACAGTACAATGGTTTTATATACTGATATAAAAGTTGTACTTATTTGGCAGCATGACATATGTTCAAATAACAAGAAATAAGGAGATTTATAATGTGATTGAGAATTCCTACAGCTGTTGCTGTATACAATAATATAGTAGTTACACTATAATCATTCAACTTTTAGTAATAATTCATCCTTTTTTATGAGCAATTATATAATAAGAAATTGATATATTTCTACAGATCAACATAAATAGTTTTAATAAAAGCAATTCCTATGATTTTTAATTTGAATAAGTGATTTACATAGTCATGACTTTGGAATCTGATTGTTTGTCAAATTTATCATATCAGAAAATTTGTATTCAAGGAAAATTTGACTGCAAAACTTTAAGGCATTTATTGATCACTTTGATTTGCTACAAATGTAGTTTTACGTTTTTATTTATGTCTATAATAACATTCAAAGAGCAATTTTTATAGAACATTGCCAAAACGACATAATGGCATTTTAAACAGGGTGTCAGGATAAAAGGACTGAGTGCCTATTTTAAACAGGGTGTCAGGATAAAAGGACTGAGTGCCTTTCTTTTATGGGCTAACAAGATCACAATCACTGTATAATAAGTATGAAAAAAATGTAAATACTTCTGCTGTCACGGATAAACATTTCAAAATGCAACCCAAACCATTTCAAAGTGCAACCCAAACCATTTCAACCTGTGAACATTAATCAGCTGATAAGAATAGAAAGCATCATATACATTGTATATATTTATTTTAATACATATCAAGGTTGAGAGAAAAGCATGTATTTAATTGTCTGTTTCAGTTACAAGGAGAAGTAGATGACTGTACGTGTAAGGTGGAGACTTTAGACGGCATTAACAATCAGAAAATATATCCTCGCTTACAGAGTTTACTTAGTAAAGATTACTTCAGATATTTTAAGGTAGATATAATAACACTATTTTGTAAAAATATTTGTAAGCAGACCAAATGTCTAAAACTGAATAAATTGTTTTTTTTCATTTAGTATTGTATGGTTCCACCTTTACTTTACAATGAATATTCTGAGAAGGCAATATGGTTATGTTTCTATATACATGTACCACATAGTTGTATAAGTCAATAGCATACCTTGTGACAGATGTGTATACAAGCCAATGTACTACATTTTGTATTTAAATTAGCAGCCAGACATAATCTAACAGTTTTAATTTGTTTTTTAATGTAAATCATTTTTTGATATACTTTATGATGACCATTAAACCATAAGTCCATTTACTTATACTGATTCAGGTGCCTATCAATCAAATATTGCCAGCTTATGAAACCATGGACCGAGCATAAGATTTTATTTAAGTCTCTAAAACTGCATTGTCTCTTCTAGTAATCTGTTCCATGTTTTTTGATACGCCCGTTTACGGGATGCATTATGGTATACCGTTGTCCGTCCGTGAGAAGTTATTGAACTTTATTCGTAAAAAATGTGACGGGCGTATCATGCGTTCATGGCGCAGCTGTTTATTTAGTTTTATTACAATGTTGTTAAAAGGAAATTTTATCTTGTTCTAACGTTTTCTCTTCTGCAGGTTAATCTAAAAAAGACATGCCCATTTTGGTCAGATGACAGTAGATGTGCATTAAAGGACTGTCATGTAGATATGTGTAATCAGGTCAGTATGATATTAGATGTGCATTAAAGGACTGTCATGTAGATATGTGTAATCAGGTCAGATGATAGTAAATGTGCTCTAAAGGACTAGTACTTTCATGTAGATATGTGTAATCAGGTCAGTATGACAGTAGATGTGCTCTAAAGGACTGTCATGTAGAAATGTGTAATCAGGTCAGTATGAAAATATCATGCATGTATAATATATCAATCTCTGCAGTGGGAAACAGTACCATACAAAGGTGAAAAATTTTCTTGAATTGTATCTTACTGTTTTGGGTCCTTAAAAAATGTACATGTCATAAGAGCTTGATTATAGACTTGAGAAAACAGTCACTGGTGAAAAAGTTCCAATATGTTAGCAAACTTAAAAAAAAAGTCTTTTTATCAGTAAAAGTGTTAACTATCATAGAAATAATGACTTGAACTTTGTCTGAAAGCAATAAAAAACAAACTAGCAATAGGAAAGCCAACACAAATTTTAAAAGGTCTTTACAAACATATTTGAACTAATAGATTTCATGTTTTATTGTTATAACATGTAAATAGTAATCTTGATGTATTGATTAACAAAAATGTATACTAATAAATGGGTTTTGTTTTAATATAAAACTACATGTTTTATATAAAAAGAGTGGTAGCTATGATGTTTTATTTTAATGTTGGTTTTTTTTTTTTTTTTTTACATATATTGGTTTTTCTGAGTAATGATTAAACTTTGTAAGTTGACATTAAAATTTTCTTAAAAACATGTTTCTGCTTTTTTCAGGATGAAATCCCACCAGGTTTAAAAGGGAGTGAACCAACTGAAAAGAAGGTAAATTTCTAACTAGGACATAAAACAATTCACATCTTTATTTCTCTTGAAAGACACATGAAATTGGAAAAGATTTTCATCTCTTTATTCATCATTGAGGGTAGGAATATGAAATTTGGTAGAATTTTGAGGTTATTAGGTAAAGATTGCACAAAGAACAATAAAATCTATACAGTAACTAGGCCTTTATTTCAGCCATCGGAAAGAGTTCCATATGGCACCCCCACGGAATAAACTGTAATACAATATTGTGTTCTTTTAGTATGGTGGGGGTGCCATATGGAACTCTTACCTTCTGAAATTATTGAGATGTTTTTATTAGTCCCCTATCGAAGAAGTCGAAGGGGACTTTAGGTTTGCACTTTGTCTGTCTGTCTGTCCATCCGTCAGTTCTGCAAATCAGTTTTCCACACTTTTTTTCTTCTTGCTTGAAGATATTGATTTGATATTTGGTGTATTGTTTTATCATGAAAAGTTACGGATCAAGTTTGAATTTTGTTCTGGTCTGATAATTTTGTGCAGAGTTATGGTCCTTGAACTTAGAAATTCACTCAAATAATCAGTTTTCCTCCCTTTTTTCGTCATGGATGAAGATATTGATTTGATAATTGATATATAGTTTTGTCATGACAAGTTACAGATCAAGTTCGAATTTTGTACCGGTCTGATGATTTTGTGCAGAGTTATGGTTCCTTGGACTTAGAAAAGTTCACTCAAAAAATCAATTTTCCACATTTTTTTTCGTCATGCTTGAAGATATTGACTTGATATTTGTTATTTAGTTTAATTACACCATGACAAGTTATAGATCAAGTTAGCATTTTGTTCCAGTACAATGAGTTTTTAACTGGTAGGGGACTATGTATTGCCAGGCAATACTCACAGAATGCTTGTTAATGTAAAATTGTAACAGTTTCAGGTTTGCAATAATACAAATGCGCATTCATAATTTCAGTAGGGATTTTTCTTCATAAAATTTTTACAATCGTATTAATTAGATCTCGCATTTTAACAAGCAATCAGTGATTTGCAATAATAAGTTAAATTACTTACATACTTATCCTCTTCATCCCCAGTGGGACATAAGGCCACAACAAATTAAATGCGCACATTGATTTCTGAATTTACAGTAACGGTACTCGGATATTTAATTTACAAATGATGTGTATTACCATACTTGTCAAAAGAATCATGTTATTGAAAGTACACAAATTACAGAAAGTAGTGCAAGGTGCATGAATCTATCTGTATAACAAAGGAAGATAACTCAATTATAGTAACAGTTTCAGGTTTGCAATAATACAAATGCGCATTCATAATTTCAGTAGTGATTTTCCTTCGCAAAATATTTGCAATCATATTAATTAGATCTCGCATTTTTTAAACAAGCAATCAGTGATTTGCAATAATAAATTAAATGCGCACATTAATTTCTGAATTTACAGGACTCGGATATTTAATTTACAAATGATGTGTATTACCATACTTGTCAGAAAGTAGTGCATGAATCTATCTATAACAAAGGGAGATAACTCAATTATTGTCTAAATTTGTTTCTTTGCTGAATACAACACAATGTTATAAGTTCACAATGCACAATGTAAACAAATTTAACTCCTTAAGCACTCACACGCACATTATAGAATTATAGTTGTATTAATCTTTTTCTTTAAACTATCAATTTTTAAAGTAATGATCTTTAAGATTGAAAATTTGTCTTTTTTTGTCTATTGATGGGAGGTCTTTAGTAACAAAGAATATTTTAAAGAAAAAAGTCGTGTGTGCAATGGAACAAGATATTTAACAAATTAAACCAAAATATTTTCCCTTCAACACAAAGTTATAATCTTCCATATAGGCAAAATAATTTAGAAATGAGTAGAAGTTGTTAATGTTGATCTTTGACCTGTATTTATTTAGTATTCCAAAGAAGCTCAAGATGAGACTGAGTCATGTGAAGAACAAAAAGAATTAGGTGCATTGAATACTACTATCAGGTAAGAATTAGGTGCATTGAATACTACTATCAGGTAAGAATAAGGTGCATTGAACACTACTATCAGGTAAGAATTAGGTGCATTGAACACTACTATCAGGTAAGAATTAGGTGCATTGAATACTACTATCAGGTAAGAATTAGGTGCATTGAACACTACTATAAGGTTAGAATTAGGTGCATTGAACACTACTATCAAGTAAGAATAGGGTAACACGTATTTTTATGCCCCACCTACGATAGTAGAGGGGCATTATGTTTTTCGGTCTGTGTCTCCATTCGTTCGTCCGTCTGTCCCTCTTCAGGTTAAAGTTTTTGGTCAAGGTAGTTTTTGCTGAAGTTGAAGTCCAATCAACTTGAAACTTAGTACACATGTTCCCTATGATATGATCTTTCTAATTTTAATGACAAATTCGAGTTTTGACCCCATTTTCACAATCCACTGAACATAGAAAATGATAGTGCGAGTGGTGCATCCGTGTACTATGGACACATTCTTGTTTTTATTTCATTTCCTATTTGTTATGAGAAAGGCCACTCTTTAATATCTTTGGATATACCATAACTGTGACTTGACTGCAAGTGTTGCTCTCCACCTATTGCAGTTTATTCAAAATTCTGACCAAATTGCAATTTGTTTTATCAAACCAAACTGTTCAACTGGTCAGAAATTTTATCAAGCTTCTGTAAAAACAGTCAAGTGGTGAAAGTGCAAGGTGGTTAGATAAAGCATACTTGCAATCCTATAAAACTTAAATTCCACTTCATTCATATTATGAAAAATCAGTCTAACTATTTCTATACAAATTTTTATTACAATTGTCATGCAAAAGGTGATATATGGCAAAATTGCTGAATTTTTTGTTTCTGTTCTCTAACTTTAGTTTGCCTCAACCAAATGTTATGACACTTATACACAATGCTTATTATCTTAAAACACAGATCAAGTTTGAATTTATGTGGTGTCACTTTTACAGTTCTCTAGTTATGTCCCTTTATAAAGTTATATGCAAGTGGGGGCATCATCTGTGTCCCATGGACACATTTTCCATTTATTTATGAATAAGAGATATTGCCTGAAGCAAACTTTTGAAAATATTTTTATGCCCCCGCTGTATAGGTGGGGGCATTAAGTTTTACCCTTGTCCGTCTGTACGTAAGAACGTCCATCCATACGTCCCAAAATTGGTTTCCGTTCTCTAACTTGAGTTTGCCTCAACCAAATGTTATGAAACTTATACACAATGCTTATTACCACGAAACACAGATCAAGTTTGAATTTTGGTGGCGTCACTTTAACCGTTCTAGAGTTATGACCCTTTATATATTGAAAAATTGCAAAATTTTTATTTTCTTCTAAATATCAAGTAATTTTCAAAATTGGAGTTATCTTCCTTTGTCCATGATTATAGTTGAATCAACCATAATCAATGCTTTATACAATGCAATGTTTAATTTTGACTTCCACTGATAAAACACAGATCAAGTTGAATTTGGGTAGTGTCACTTTAACCATTATTGAGTTATGCCCCTTTATAAATTGAAAGATTGCAAAATTTTTAGTTTCTATTCTGTAACTTAAGTTTGCCCCAACCAAACATTATGAAACCTATACACAATATTCATTACCACAAAACTAAGATCAAGTACAAATTTTTTGTTTCCGTTTTCTAACTTTAGTTTGCCTCAACCAAATGTTATGAAACTTATACACAATGCTTATTAATACATAATACAGATTAAGTACAAATTTGGTGGCGACACTTTTACCATTCTTGAGTTATGTCCGTTTATAAACATAAAAATTGCTGAATTTTCCATTTCCGTTCTCTTTAACTTTAGTTTGTCTCAACCAAATGTTATAAAACTTATACACAACCGTTCTAGAGTTATGCGTGTTTACAAATAGAAAATTGCTGAATTTTTAGTTTCTGTTCTCTACTTAAGTTAGCCTCAACCAAATGTTATGAGACTTACACACAATGCTTATTACCACAAAACTCAGATCAAGTTCAAATTTGGGTAGCGTCACTTTTACCGTTCTTCAGTTATGTCCCTTTTATAATTATATGATATGCAAGCGGGGGCATGATCTGTGTCCACATGTGGACACTATCTACATTTATTTTTATACGCCCGTTTTTGGGACGTATTATGGTATACCGTTGTCCGTCTGTCCGTCCATCCGTCTGTCTGTCCGTTGTCAACATGTCGGACATTTACTCAAAAACGCTTTAACCAATTTGCATAAAACTTTGGTGAATTGTTTATATCTATTGACGTGAGCTCCCTTTTGATTTTTATAAATTTTAGATTTTACGTTTCCGAGTTATGTGGTTTTATTCATTAAAAAAAGGGGGATTTTCAAGTTTTCGGACAATAACTCAAGAATGCTTTCACCAACTTGCAAGAAATTGTGGTGAATTGTTTATATCTATTGTCATGAGCTCTCTTTCGATTTTTATATATTTTAGATTTTACGTTTCCGAGTTACAGGGTTTTATTCATAAAAAAAGGGGGATTTTCCAGTTTTCGGACAAAAAATCAAAAATGCTTTCAGCAGTTCTTATGAAACATTGGTGAATTGTTTATAGCTATTGATGTAAGCTCTGTTTAGAATTTTATAAATTTTACATTTTACATTTCTGAGTTATGGGGTTTTATTCTTTAAAAAAGGGGGGATTTCCAGTTTTCGGACAATAACTCAAAAATGCTGTCAGCAATTCTCATGAAACTTTGGTGAATTGTTTATAAGCTCCCTTTACATTTTCATAAATTTCTAATATGACATTGAGAATTAATTGAACTTTAATTGTTTATAGTCTGACAACAGATTTACTAAGTATTGCGCAACAGCACAGTGTATTGCACAACAGCAAGAAATCTTTAATTGAATATAAATTCAATTCATATAACCAATTTCAAGTTCTTTGACTACATTTATTCAGAAACCTATAATATGTCAAATATTTAATACAATCCAAATTCAGATCTGTATCAAGCTTGAATATTGTGTCCATTTTTGCCCCAACTGTTCAGGGTTGGACCTCTGCGGGCGTATCCAGCTGCACTCAGCGAAGCAGTTTATTTTCGTTTTCAGTATTTTTCTGATAGATGGATATACTTTTTTACAGTTAATATTTACAGACAGTCTGGGATTAAATTTTTTTGGCATTATGAATTTGTAAACCTTCATAGATTGTTATGAAACTTAGACGCTAATCTTCAAGACCAAGAAATAGCATCTAAAGAAAAAGTTTTAAATTCTGTATTTTGCTGATAAGTGGACTCACCTTATATTAAAGTCAACGTTTAACTTTTACACTGACAGCAGCAATCACAGGCCAGACACAGGGTTCTGCAAAACCCCTTACAATTTTTTTTAATATCATCCATGAAATCATTGCAACCATTGCAATTTGGACCAATTTGAAGAAAAAAATGGGCCCTAATTTTGCTTGCATTAATGTCAAATATATGATTTTCAGTTTTGGCCAACGGATAAAGTACCAGATATGGGGTCTATAGTATTCATCTTGTCCATTTGTTTACCATTCTGTTTATAACAATTTTGTGACACAAAACTCAAAAAGTATGAAATTTTGTACAGGTGTGATTATAATTCTTTCTTGAAGTTTTGAAACTTTGTTTTTGAAACACTAAAATTTTTGATAAAAAAATCTAAAATTTTGAGAAATTATTTTTGGGGAATGCAAGTATGAGAAGGACTGGCACACAATTGTGTACAGTTGTTGTGCCTCATATGTAGATGAACATGTTATTTTTTGTGAATTGGGCAAATAATTTGCAGTAAAAACATAGTTTTTGTGAAGAAATCACAAGATACATGTGCTAGAATGTCAAAGAAAATTGTAATAAATATCAATGATAACCCGCAAAATGTTTTTTATAAGGGCTGTGAAAATATGTTTCATTCAAATTACTCTGGTTTCAACAAAATTTCATATCTAAGAAGAATTTGCTATCACTAATTAATAACATTGAAAATTGGATATTTATATTTTATATTTTGTATTTTAGTGACTCCACAAAAGAAGCACTGAGGAACTGGACTAAGCATGATGATACACAGGAAACATTCTGTGAACTTGATGGTTAGTATATAATGGCAACAGTAATATACCGCTGTTCAAAAGTCATAAATTTGATTAAGAGAAAACAAATCTGACTGTAATCTATACTTACTCACTTCTAAGCAATAGCAATTTCATACCTGATAAAATCTGATTCCTTTAACAAGATAATATCTGATTTCTTTAACAAGATAATATCTGATTCCTTTTACAAGATAATATCTGATTCCTTTAACATGACATAATAGAAAGTACTAAAGCAGTGGAAATGAGATTTCAAGCATGATATTGTTTTTTGTTCAGTGAACTGATTTACTTTTGTATTTTTTGTTCAGTGAACATCTTATATACTTTTGTATTTTTAGTTCAGTGAACATCTGATTTACTTTTGTATTTTTTGTTCAGTGAACATCTGATATACTTTTGTAGATGACAATTCATCAGAATGTGACTATGTTGACCTACTTCTTAACCCTGAAAGATACACGGGATACAAAGGACCATCAGCACATAGGATCTGGAGGAGTATTTATGAAGAAAATTGCTTCAAGTAGGAATTGAGAAAATAAAATGATAGCACATAAAATTTTGATTATAAAAATAGAACATTGATTAACTAGCATCAAAAGAATATGTTTATTTACTCAGTTATGTTTCTCCTAAGAGAGAAAATGAAATATCTAGTTAACATATGAAAAGTTATCTCAAGAATAAAAATGTCATAAATGTGATAATTTATCAGGTAATATAAATAGCAATTTATAAACATTTATCATACTTAAGGTTGAAAATAAACACACAGAGAAAGAAATGCATAAAGACAATACAAAGGGTTTCAACATAGTTTTCAAATTTTGTTTTGCAAATTTGCTTTAGAATTACAATGTTATAATGTATTATTTTCTAGACCACAAGAAGATGAGAGTACACCTTATTCACCTCAACAGTCTCTTGCAGGTAACCAATTTATTATAAATCAAAATAATGAGCTGATTTTAAATTGATGTTTATATACTGTCATTGTACTAGTACATAGCATGGGAAGTCTGCCATTTATTGCCATAAAAGTTTGTCCTTTATTCCTAAGATTAAATAGGAATTATAGCATTAATAAATTGTATATATATCTATGAGATCTTAATTTGAATGAAGGATAAAAAAAGTTCATAGGTCTGGAAGTTAGATGTATGCTAGACACACCTGTCTTGAAGAATTTTAAATTGATGTCCAAGAGCAGTGGAAAGTGATACTCCATAAAATCAAATGGTTTTATTTTTGTAATTTTATGCCACCACCGCAGCGGAGGGGCATTAATTTTTATGTCTGTACGTCCCAAAGTGAGTTTCCATTCTCTAACTTTAGTTTGCCTCAACCAAATGTTATGAAACTTATACACAATGGTTATTACCACAAAATACTGATCAAGTTTGAATTTTGGTGGTGTCACTTTAACTGTTCTAGAGTTATGCCCTTTTACAAATGGAAAAATTGCTGATTTTTTTCGTTTCCATTCTCTAACTTAAGTTAGCCTCAACCAAATGTTATGGAACTTATACACAATGCTTATTACCACAAAATACAGATTAAGTTTGAATTTTGGTGGTGTCACTTTTACTGTTCTAGAGTTATGCCCCTTTACAAATGGAAAAATTGCTGAGTTTTTTGTTTCCATTCTCTAAATTAAGTTAGCCTCAACCAAATGTTATGAAACTTATACACAATACTTATTACCACAAAACTCAGATCAAGTACAAGTTTGGGTAGCGTCACTTTTACCGTTCTTCAGTTATGTCCCTTTATAACTTTATATGATATGCAAGAGGGGGCATCATCTGTGTCCCATGGGCACATTCCCCATTTATTTCTATTTCATTTAAAAAAGATTGTCTTTACATTTAGGATAAAGTCTTGATACAATGACAGTATTAAACACAGTTAATCTATATTTAGAATATTAAACTTTATTCTCTATACACATAACATATGTTTTTTGAAATTTCTCACTTCAATTTCCTGTTATAAATTTATTTTTAACTCACTTTATGTAGAATAGAAGTCACTGACAAATCACAAATGTTATAATAACCATGCATATAAAAGAACATCACAAAGATGAATTTTTAACATTATTAATAAAAAAAAAAAGAGTTTACACCAATTCAGGCATTTTTATTCATTGGCTTTGAAGTAAAATTTTCTTTGCATAAATATAAGCCGGAATAAGCATAAGTTGATTCGTCAACAATTATTTTTGATTATAGATTAATTACAAGGAGTATGTTTGATTTAGGACTTGTTAGTGACTTCAGTAATATGCAATTTACTATTGTATCAATATATTACATTCATCATTTTCTAAATCTGTTTCTATTTTCTTAGTTTGCTTATGTATTAATGTTCTTAACTTTCATTCACTTGAAATAATTATATGATCCATTCGTCTTTATTTGAGATATGTTATTTTTACATAGCATCATATCTTAAAGGTAGGCATGTGTGGCACGGCTAGAACCGATCTGTCATTTGTATATTAATTTGAATAGAATGAGGGAATTTTATAGCATAACTAATATAAACTAAGGAGATGTGGCATGATTACCAATGAGGCAACTATCCAACAGAGTCCAAATGACATGGATTTAAGCGACTAGAGGTCATTATACATCATTCAACAATAATCAAAAGTCAAACTAGTTCATTTACAATCTTAATTTGGGTCTATGTCTTATTAATATACTGGTATATTGAAAAATTCCTTTTATTGATACATAACAATGACAGTAATGAGAAAGAACATTTGTAGATATTTAAAATAAATTTCGAAATACATATGCATAAAAGGAGATGTAGTGCATAAGCCAAAAAAGAGAAACAAAACTTTACACAAAAAAAATGAATTAAAATCAACATACAATCTTTAAAATTAGATAACTGTTTATGCCAAATGCCAAGTGCTAAATATACATAGTTTTGCTTTTGACAATTTGTGAATTAATTGACATAGTATCTTAAACAACTGCCAGTAGAGCAAAAAATCTTTAATGTTCTAAAATTTAATATTTATGAAAAACTTAAATTCTCATGGATTTAAATTTTGTTCCCTTTGATAAGATTTTAGTTAAAATAATGGTTACATCACATCTGAACACAGCTATTGTATCAAAATGAGAGGTGGGTTAAACCTCAATGAGACAACAACCCAACAACATCATAATCAAAAGACATGTAGAGGGCAGCATTTAAGATTTTAATTCAGAAATTTTCACAAATAAGCCCAGACCATAATAATTTTGACCCAGACTTATAACTTTCATAATTTTACTTCACTGACGTTATTATATTTGACCCAACATTGATAAGTATGACTCAAATCTTCCCCCCTCTTATGTCTTATCATCTATTTTATCATTTATGAAATCGTTAATTTTTAAAACACATGTTTAACAATGATAAACTTGAATTTGTATATTAATCTCTATAAATGGTTTTACTGTTAAAGCTGTCTATATAAGATCAGAAATGACAGGTGAGCTCTGTGCCACTGGAAGCCCTGCACATTATATACACAAACACACTGTAACCAGCTTTTTATAATATACAACAATTGAGATGACAATACCAATTTTCATTGTATATAAATATGTTTCTTCTTGTTTTATTGTCAGTAACACATGGTTGATTATTTTATTTTCCTCACTCCAGCGTGCACAAAATAAATATCCCTTGTTTGAGATTCTTACATGAGTCTGTACTAATCTTGTTTGTTGTCTGCAAGTTTGTTTACTTCCTCAATATTGTAAGATAACCTCAAAATGATAATTAAAAATCTACGTTTTTTGGCACTTATGGAAGTTAGCAGGATTTTATTGTATCGAACACCAACATATCTGCTATTTAAACGTTCCTATGCAAAGTAAAGATTTCATGAAAATTTTGATCTTCTTTAAACTAGATGCCTTTTCCATTGAATGCAGCACAGAATAAAATGTATTATAGAATAATTATGGACTGCATATGAAGGTGAAATCTCCTTGCTTGTATTGACACAAGAATGGTCTTACCGGTAATAGGAAGATTAGATAATTAGTCATACTAGTTTCTGACAATTCTAGAAAGTTTGAAGATGACTTAAACTTATATAATTTGGAAATCTCTCCACATTTTGAAATGGGGATTTTCGAAAATTGGTATTATTTAAGACATATGTACAATAGGAGATTTAGACAGTTTTTAGCATTAGATAAATCTCAGATTTAGTAATTATTTTCTTCTTCATATTTATTTAGTATTTAGAGGATTAGGTGTTGGTAAAAGTTTTTAATACATATTTCATGGTTTTAGTATTTTTCTAATCAATTCTAGTTGTTGGAATAAAATGATTCCTCTAACCTGAACCTGATCAGTTTTCATCAATCAACCTGTCACAGCTTTGTCCTATCATTTTATTAATTTGAGTTATACCTTAAATCGTGTGGCATCTACAAAATGATAGTTCAGTATGAAAAAATGGAAATGTGGGGTAATCATTAATGAGACAGTAAGTCAGCAACACAAAAATCACAGGACATCCAGAGATCAACATTGTCTTCGACAATAGAAATGTGTTAAACAGTTGGTATATGTCCTGTGGTGTCCCACTATTACTATAAACACCATACATTTAATGTTTTATGCACAGTATTACTGGTACTATGAATTTTGTGTATAAACACATTAAAACGCACCCATCTTATTAAACACAACCGCCCTGATGTTCTTGCAGTTTAGATTAGATCAAAGTTGTTTTAATGTCAAATCATTTGTTTGGAATTTTATTGTGTCATATCTAGAATAAAACATAAGGATACAAGGTGTTATACAGAAAAATAGAAATTACTTTGTTTGAAGTCCAATTTGGCATTCAAATTAGTTAATTTTTAAAGATGACCTTGTCTTGTAGAAAGAAAAAAAGTAATGGATAAATGCTTATATTCTCCTCCCCCTATTTAGTCTTATTTGCATGAAAATGGAAGTGTTGGGTACTAATTTAGCCTCTTTTTACTCATTAAAAAAAGACTTTAACCAAGATGGGCAAGTTTTGCATGAGATACAGTAGTTACAGTTTATGGTGCTTAAATTACAAAACTAGTAATATTTGACTTGTTTTTTTCAAATGAACTCTTTCATTAGGTTAATCATTATTTGAATACAATGAATGAATAATTAGAATCACAGTGAAAATAGAAAGTGAAGAAAATTATCATTTCAAGAAATATTTGAATAGATATCATTGAGATCAGCACAAACCTTTAGGTTAGTTTTAAGATTTTCAACAGTAAATTCACTTTTCATATTTCTTCAAATAAAAGCTTTTGTACATGTTCATTATATATTCTTAATGATTAGAAGGGAGGTTTATTTAAAATTTCTTACAGGATTGTGCTTGGAACAGAGGACTTTCTACAGAATGATTTCAGGGCTTCATACCTCAATCAATTTACATCTCTCAGCAAATTATTTGTTTCAAGGTAAATAACATGTATACATAGTTTTGTAATAATTCAAATTCATTTTTACCAGAATATATTAGATATCAGCCTTAAACAAAAAATCTGCACATGATTAAAAACAAAATTAAGGGAAAATTTAAAGACCATTTAGAGGAGAGCATAATGGCTAAAAACACTGTTGGAAGTTATTATCTTAATTAAGATTAATCACAACACTGAATTGGGATAAGGAAGTTAATGAGGTCAATGACATAACAAATACATATTGTCCTTTAATCTCTTTTTATATTAAGCCTTTTTAACCAATTACAACATATACTTTATTTCAGTCAGCCATTACACCAAATTGAATTGTTCTTGCAAGTTTTAAAAGTGGTTAAAGCAAATTATTTTCCTTTTTCATATATGAAATTTCGTCATTTAACAATGAGGGAATTCTGAAATAAAACACATTGAAGGAAGTAAAAATGTTGGTTAACTCAAGAGAATTGAATAGCTGACAATAATTTAAGTATTTCAACATTTAGGCTGTCAAAACATCATAAATTTCTAAATTTCCTGGAAAGGAGCTTAGTAAAACAGAGATGGTGGACTAGTCATCAGAATTTAATTACATTGAAGTACCTGGAAAAACAAAAGAAATGGCCTTTTGAAATTTGATCAATTGATAGTTGATGTTTAAAGTCACTTTAGCACTATTGTCTGTTTCATGGCTATCAGTTTTTGTATGACCGCAATTAATTTGCGTTTGTATAATGCTATCATGTCGTCATCGTCATCGTCTTCGTCATCTGAAGACACATTTGGTTTACGGACAATAACTTTAGTTTAAGTGAATGGATCTCTATGAAATTTTACCAGAAGGTTCAATACCACAAAAGGAAGCTTGGGATTGATTTTGGGGGTTATGGTACCAACAGTTTAGGAATTAGGGGCCAAAAACAAGCCTTTTTCTAGTTTCCAGACAATAACTTGTGTTTAAGTGTATGGATCTATCTGAAATTGTACTACAAGGTTCCATATCACAAAGGGAAGGCTGGGATTGAGTTTGGGGGTAATTGCCTCAAACGTTTAGAAATTAGAGCCAAAAAAGGGGCCAAAAACAAGCATTTTTCTAGTTTCCAGACAATAACTTGTGTTAAAGTTTATGGAAATCTCTGAAATTGTACATTTTTCCTGAAAAGAAAGTAATCTTCAAAATTTCAAAAAAAAATTTGGGGGGGGGGGATTTTTTTTCAAATTTTTTGGGGGGTTTTATACTTGTTATACTTCAAGATTTTTCAAAATTTCAAATTTTTTCAACAAATTTTTTTTTGGGGGGATTTTTTTTCATAATTTTTTGGGTTTTTTTTCCCAAAAATTTTCCATTTTGTTATTTCTGATTTATATATAAAAGCAACAAATACTGATATGGCAGGAGATACACACCAAACAGGGTGTGTAAATTATTATATATCATTTTTGGGGCCCTTTATAGCTTGCTGTTCGGTGTGAGCCAAGGCTCCATGTTGAAGGCCGTACTTTGACCTATAATGGTTTACTTTTACAAATTGTGACCTTGGATTGAGAGTTGTCTCATTGGCAATACCACATCTTCTTATATCTATATAACAGATTAACTAAGTATTGTGCAACAGCACAGTATTGTGCAATAGCAAGAAATCTTCAATTGAAAATAAATACCTTGTATTACTATTTTGGATATTGGTCCCCATTTTTTAATTGGTGTACATTGAGGTCCAAAATAAAACTTTGTTTGATTTCATCAAAAACTGAATTATTGCGGCTCTATGGTATGCTGAATCTTATTGTGCATTTAGATTTTTTATTTTCAAATTAGTCCATATTAAGGTTTGAAGGGTCCAAAATTAACCTTTGTTTTATTTCAACTAAAATTAAATTTTTGGTGTTTTTTATATGCTGAATTTAACCATGTTGTTAGATTTTGGATATCAGACCATACTAGGTAAATTTGTTCAGTGAAAAACACATATTTCTTTGTTGTAGACAAACTGGGATTCGGTAATGGTAAATGGGCACACAACACTAAGGAATTTTTAAGAAGATTTGATCCTGTAAATGAAGAGCAGGGTCCTCAGAGACTGAAGAATTTATATTTTGCCTACCTTGTTGAACTGAGAGCATTAATAAAGGCAGCACCATATATTTTAGAGGTAAGAATTTGTCATTTTAATCAGCTTATTCTTCACAACAATATAAGTTTAGTAGAACATTTCCCATTGGATAGTCCATCAAAAGTTTGATAAAATGGCAGACATTTCTATTTTGTCTTTATATGTGTCACCTTCAATGGTGCCTGTAACAGTCTACTATGAAAAGAATGGGAAAAATCTTGAATTAACATTTCTTTTATCTAGAATATATTGCTTTATTGTACTCTTCCACAACAATTAGTGGAATCCTAGAAATACTGGGCATGCTTCCATTTGTCTGTGCTTCTATCTAGTCCTCCAGTTTTGTAAGTGCTCTCATACCTGTATTCCTTGGGAAATTTTAATGAAATTTATTTCAAAGGTTTATATCAGCAATGACTCGCACATGTTTAAAAATCAACACAACAGCAATCAACTAATTTTACTACAGGTGTGCCCCTGAAAATGTAAATTATATGGAAAACTGTACTGTAAGTGCTGTCAAGTGTTCATTTCTTGTTGGATTTTTATGATGATTATATCAAAGGTTTAAATGAGCAATATCTTGGAAATGGATGTGAAATAGAAAATTATTGGAGTTATTTCCCTTGGGCAGATAAAACGTGCTACGCCAAGGGACATTGGAATGTTGGAAAAAAGTGGAGAACTGGACAAGTGAATGATAGTGATAATATTTGTTGTGCAAGTTAAAATTATAAGTATGGTATTGTTTATATACACTTTTTATTCCAGGAAGAATTTTACACAGGAAATGAAGAAGAGGATAAGGATGTTAAAAGTGGAGTAAGAGATTTGTTAACTGTTATTCAGTAAGTTTTTATAAAACAAATTTGATATAATTTCTGTGTGAACAACACACGTTTCTTGAGTAACTTTTATCATGGCATGCTAAAGACCCAAGTTACCAACAAACAGAAAGCCAGAAATGTTATACCTTCAAAGGTACAAAAACTCAGAGGGTTTATACAGAACATTGGCAACTGTACGCAGTGCACTTTGGGTATTGTTCTGTTACATGGCTTGTTTTGCTATCTTCTACAGTGTTCAAGCTAGAACTTTTATATTACACAGGTTGTTTGTATGATTACCAGTAGTTGGATTTCAATTTACTACCATATTTTCTAAAAATAAAAAGATTTTCAACTGATTCATTTTAATACCCCTGTGTCAGAAAGTCCAGTAGGTTACCTTTGTAATAAAAAATTCAAAATAACTTTTGAGCTTCCACTTATTACTTAGAGAAATACAGGATTTTATGTTCAATAAAGGAAAAAAACTGTTTATTTAGACTGCCAGTTTATAATTATTTGTTGCTTTATTTTAGACAAGCTCCAGATCAGTTTGATGAAAGTAAATTATTTCAAGGTGATCACAAAGAAGCAAAGAAATTAAAGGTAAAACAAATAAAGTCTTATATTATATGTGAACCATCCAATAGAGAATTATAACATCTTTAAAAGTTAAATTTTATGAAAAAGGATTTGAATATTTTGCCATTTTAAGAAATTGTTACCACAAGATCAAAATCTTGAAAAGAAACATCTCCTGAAGTCATATAATAAAACATTTAAAATTTACTTTTACTAATAAAATGTTTAATTAGTATGATTTTCATATGTATATATATATCTTATTGTTTTCTGTTTGGTAATAAATTGATAATAAGATCTATTTTGTTACATCTTGTGATCCGTTTATTTGGCAATCGCCAATGGCAGTCAGCAGGGTTTAAGAACTTCAGTTGTTCGACCTGCTAGTCAAATGCGTTTTGTTAAAATGTACTTTTTCACTCATTTGGTCTTTTGGAAAATGTTGTTTGTGCTGTATTTAGACCCCTCTACCAAGAAATTTGTTTTGCATGCACAAGTATAAAATTGCGGTTTTTATCCAACGCAATCATAAGTTTGAACGTTGTTTTCAATTAGGACTTGTTTATCTTTCATAAATGACACAACTTATTAATTTCCTCCAATATTCAAACAGCTCCATGCATTTTCTGCATCACTATATGGATATATGTTTTCTTAAACAGGAAGAATTCCGTGCTCATTTTATGAATGTATCCAGGATAATGGATTGTGTTGGTTGTGATAAGTGCAAACTATGGGGCAAATTACAGGTAATTATTATTTTCTCAAAAGCAAAGATAGACATAGGAAATGCTTTCTTTTGATTTTCTGTTCTGTCTATTTTTTTGTCAAATTGAACTTTGTGAAGCAGGATTTTTTTTTTACAGCGAGCGGATTTTATTAAGTTTCCATCACTATGAAAGCACTGATAAAGGAACTGAATGAACTAGGTAAATGCAATCAAAAAGAATTCATGGCATTTAGATAATATTAAAGGAGCATCTTACAGAGATCAGGCAAACACTAATTTTCAAATTTGTTAAATGTAGCTTGAGATTGAACCCAAGATCTCTGCTGTAGGGCTAAACATACTACCATGATACACTGAGGTAGTAAATCATGGTGTTAAGATAGAAATAGGGGCCATATTGTATTTAATATTAAGCCTTTGATTTTTATGGCAACTCCCTCAGACAAAGTTGACCTTAAATGGTTTGGCTAGTCAGTTTAGGTTCCTTTTGGTTATACAGCTTTTCAAGTATTTATACATCCCTTGATTTCGTTTAGATTGGAGCTTTCCTGATGAAGGTAAATCCAGAAAAGCTCCTCAGATGCAATTAATTTATAAAGTGATAATTTTTCTTCATTTTTATCACTAATTTTTATTTACAGATACAAGGCATGGGCACAGCTTTGAAAATATTATTTTCGGGTGATCAGATAGGACCACATTCCACAATTAATGCAAATCAGAAGAAAAAGTTTCAGCTTAGACGTACTGAAATTGTCTCGCTTTTTAATTCTTTTGGCAGGTCAGTTAATTTGATATTTAGTTAAGTAAATATTTATTTTATCATGTTCAAGCGTTTTAATAACTAAAGAAACTTATCAGATGATTTTATTAACAACATTAACGATACCAATTTTACTGCACCATATGAGCATTTAGACAAATGTCTCTTTGGCTAAGTATTAATGCTTAAAATGTATCAGGAGAAGCATCGAGTAATAAAAACTCCCCTTGAAATTTTCTTGTAATGTTCCACTTGAAGTAGAGAAATTACATTAAGCAATCCTTCATTATTGTTGCTTTTTAAGAATGCATGCATGCATTAAATCCTAAATTTACAATATTTTTTTATGATTCATAAAACATTCAAACATCTGCACTCGTCACTTCGTAATTATTTATGGAAATAAAAAAAAAACTCAAAAAGTGTATTTACATTATTTATTTAGTAGTCATTTTTTATTGCACAAGTTTTTAAATTGATTAATTATCTCATAAATATACACTATAGTTAGATATTACACAAAAACAAGATACAGAAATAAATTGATGCACCACCATGTGTACATATCAATTTCTCATCAGTCATGCACCAAACCAATGCTCAGAGAGATATAAACCAGATACAGCACCAAGAGCAGTTAGAGATGCTAAATTCAGAAAACCTCTGCATGGAAGATAACTTTAGAATCAAACAAATATAAGAATAAGAAGATGTGGTATGATTGCCAATGAGACAACTCTCCATAAGAGACCAAATGACACAGAAATTAACAACTATAAGTCATCGCATGGTTTCAGTTCACAGAAAATTTTTAGTTTCAAAAAATTTGCATTAACTTTATTTCAGATTATCAAGCAGTGTTCATTCAATAGAAAAGTTCCGACACCTGTTGAGCTGACACCACCACTTAGATGATCTCTCCTTTTGCTCATGGAACTATTTTTCCCGCCACGGCTGTGATTCTTAGGCTTTCAAAAGGCTTGACAGTGATATTCACAAATGATTATACTAAGCTTAACTTCGTTAGTTGTTTCAGGGTGAATCCATATAAATGAATTCTGTGCATAGTTAGGCTTAAAAAAATTGAACATAAACCCTAATTCAGCCATTTTTAGAGAAATTGTACGTGCAAGTCATGAATGATGCAGTATAATTTTCAAGTGCTTAGTCTTTAGTCAAAATAGAAAATGCATTTTTGTTATTTGTTAGAATTGTCTCTGTTGAATACAAATCCTTTAATATATATTACCAAACATACAAGTAATACAAAGCTTCTCATAATGTGACAAATCTCTACAAACTTTGTGCATTTTTAAGCTATAAAATTTTGTCAATGAGCCTTCAGCCATTATCTTTTTATTTTTTACATAAAATTTTCGACTAATTTTTTCGTAACAAATGTAAAGATAAACTAAGGTTACTGGTGGCCAGAAATTAGAAATCGTGTCTTTGGAATACCATTTATTGTGAAATTGATTCACATCAAATGCAATAATATTTTTGATATTTCATGTGGATATATATAGACCTTAAAGCATTCCATTAGAAAGATAAATATAGGCTTTACACCATAGACATGTGGATATTTATCACCAGTGTATTTTGGTCAAAGAATAAATTACATTCTTTTTATTATTTCAGAATGTATTTGGTTATTATTAATTGTGTGTACAAATGTGGCCTGTATGTTCATGTTAATTAATTTATGATAACTTTGTTGTGAATATTTATGGTTAAGAAGTCTTGCTGACAGAGTGTTCTATGTCATGTAGTTAAGTTATTTATAAATGTTATAAATGTTTACTTTAAGCCCTTGTAGATAAATTGACGTTATTTTTTTATTAGATTAATTAAAGCGACTGGATATAGTTTTGGGATATATAAATATTCAATGTCCTGTTGTTTTCGAGATTCAGGATATATAAATATTCAATGTCCTGTTGTTTTTGAGATTCAGGATATATAAATATTCAATGTCCTGTTGTTTTCGAGATTCAGGATATATAAATATTCAAGGTCCTGTTGTTTTCGAGATTCAGGATATATAAATATTCAATGTCCTGTTGTTTCAGTTTCATTTATGATGACATTTTGATGATGAATCTGAGGAATAAAATTTAATAAATGAAATATAGTGATGAATTCTCATCTGATGAGGTACAAAACCGATGTTGTTTTCATTTTCAAATGAATTTCTTGGTTGCCCAAATAATTATAGTTTGTCTGAAATATATATAACAATGCATTTGATGCTAATTTTTTAAAGATAATTATACCAGTCTTTGGGTACATCTGGAATTTGTGTTTTTTTTCTGTTTGTCTAAATTTACCTCTTGTAGATTGATATTTGTATGCTTTAAGATGTCCTGTCTTCAAGTCTTGTCAGGTAGTTGAGTGAGCAAAGTGTACTACATATGATTTTCTTTGAAAAAAAAACTATGACATTACCTTGAAAGCTTTTATAAATGGCATTTATATTAATGTATGGGGGAGCGAGAAAATGGGATTAGGGTGAGTAGAAGCCCACAACTCATCCCATGGAGGGGGAGAAAATGGGTTAAGGGTAGATTAGCAGACAAAAGCTACTGTTACAATAAAACTTTTATGACTTTCAATTATTAAGTTTATTGATATTCAACATTTAGATAAGTATCGGATGTATTGATATAATATTATTAGCATTTTTTTTTAAAGATACAATTCATTCAAATGAATATTTAAAAACAGATTTTTAGTCAGTATATTGTAATTTTTTGTATATAAAATGGGTCAGTTAATAACAGTTTTTTTTTTACTTTATTAAGACATTATTCTTGAAACTACCAAACTGTAGAAATTGACATATGGACATTATTTACTATGAAAACAAATATTTTAAGTTGATATTTTTAACAATATATGCAAGTAACTGTTGATCAATTTTTTGATGTTGTGAATTAATAATTATTCATAGGTTACTAAGTTTCAAAGCTTTTATGGTTTGAGGTAAACCATGTCTTACACACAAATGCAATTTTCATAAAGGCTTGTGTGCAAAATTTGTTCAATCCATGAAATCAAATAGCCTTAATAAAACAATGTTTCATCAATCCACGAAAAATAAATGAAATACGGCAAATGGTAAATCAACAATTATATATTTCTATTTGATAGTTGTAGCCTAAAAGGTCTTTAAGATATGTTCCTAGTAGTGTAGATTTTTACAATCATGCTACTAAGATCTTTCATTGTGAAAAGGTTGCCTATTATGACAAATATATTTTGCTGCTTTAGTTGAAATACAGATTAATACTGTAGGGTCTTCATTTCCTCTTTTTACACAAGTAATACATTTAGAACAAAAATTTGAACTTACATACATTATATATTTTAAAGTGATATTGCCTGTATTTGTTAGATTTGTTTGCCTCTTATATGCTGTAGTTTGTTGATATTACCAAGCAGCTGTGTTCCTCATTGCACAATAAACCAGTCCTACAGATCGTCTTAAACTTGCAATGAGGTGTGATTTGTTTCTCCACGTTGAAATCCTCACTGTAACTATGAGATGAAAAACCTGTGGGTTTTGTCAAGTGTATGAATTTTGTTTCAAGATTTTATACACCAATTCCTCTCTTTTCCATGTAATAATTGTTTACAATCTGGATAGTTAACAGAAATATGACTCACTTTTCATACTAAACATCTATGAATGTATGTGTTCTCTTTTCATTTCTAAGGGATCATGGCAAGTCTAATTTTCTTGGAAATGATGGATATAGCATTTGATAGTTCAACAATAATAAAGGAGAAATGTAATTATATATTGCTCAAATTAACTTGAAATCTAAAGATCTAGTCAGTAGACTAGTTAATTCTATGTTCTAGATATTAGCAAAAATCCTTAAAATATTTCACTATTGTTCTACAATATTTTGTCATTTTGTTGATATATAATGTTGTTATCTATTTTCATGCAATCTTGTAATTGTTATTTCATACAGTTTATCATTAAATATAAAACAATATTGTGTTGTTTATGACTTCATTCACCCTTCAGACTCCATGCAGTATACCTTACATAAAATCTTAACCTTACCATTTGATTGAGTTTGCTGAATTCAGGTTCACACTCTTTAACTTTACATAGTTTTATGATTCTATGATTCATTATATTTTTTTTATTTTGGAGTTGAAATGAATTTAGAATTTTTTTCTTAGCAGAGAGCATAGAAAAGCTGAACATCTGTCTGTCAAACCCTATATGAACTGTTTCTATCAGCAATATCTCCATTACTTTGAAATCATTGCGAATCAAACTTTTTTGTTGGAATAACATAGGCATTTAGAAACAAAAATTATGTTAAAAAAATTGCCTTCATGTTAACTCTCCCCTTTCATACTTTTTTTGTAAAAAAGGATTATATATTCAATATTTATTTAACAGCGCAAAATAAAATGAGTTTGGGAGTAGAAGACCTTTGAAATTTAAATTGTGTGTGAAAACATCTTTGTAATAACAAACGGTACCAATTTTATAGCTATAAATACGTTACCATCATAAATTCTGAGTGTAACCCCAATTGCGTCATAGGTCAGATGGAAAATCCCGACTAAAAATAAACGTACTCTCACTGGTCAGGACATATACCCCTGTTTGCCTATATTCTCCCATTCAATTTCCATCTGCGACATCGGTCACACGTGCAAATTATTACAGATTCAACAGAGAAGTGTTTAGTTTGTAAAGTTTTTTGAATAGCTTAATTGCTTTTCATATATTGTGTATATTATTGGAAATTTATTCCCTTGTTTAGTTTGAATTTCTAAACAAATTATTTGTGGTTTTTTTTTTTGACTAAAGTAAATTTTATTATGGACTTTAATTTGAATAGTCCTTACGTAAATATTCCTGGTTCGGACTATCTCCTAGATGGGTCACTACCTTTAAGTCCCCCCCCCCAAACTACACGTACATTGACCGGAGTTTCGACAACGGTGTCTGGTAATGCTACCTATCCGACCCTTTCACAAGGTTCGGCCATGCATTTTGGGGGGGTACCTACGTCAACTTCGGTGACTCATACTTTAGCTAGGCCTGTTAATTCATCGGGTACTATTAGTTCTGTCCAAGGTACAGCTATGGGCTTGAACTTGCCAGGTTCTAGACCCCCATTATCCTATTGTGGGTATATGCTTCCCAACTCGGGCACACAACCTTTACCCTCATGGTCTCAGCCACCTTGGCCACAGTCTTACCCTTATGGTGGGTTTATGCCAAACCAACCTGGTTTTTGGCCTTACAGGGACAATTTCTATGGTCCCCCTTCTGGGGAAGCTACTGCACCACCTTTAGCTCCTGCCCCACCCGTAGCAGTATCTTTGACTCCTGCAGTAGCTCCTTCTACCACCGTACCTGACTCTCGAGCTCAATCTTCTAGCTCTTCTCATGGTACTCAGGGTTCTGATCATGCATCATCTTTGGATGGTTTTCAGAAGTTACTTTTGGACTTTTGAGTTTTTCAAGGCTGAATTTAGTACTCTATCCAGTCGTATGTCTCTACTGGAGAATAGAGTTTCTTCTCATCAACCTTCTCCAGCTCAGTCTGTAGAATATGATGAGAGGGAGGATGACGAGCTTTCTGTTTCCCCTGGGAGTCATGAAAGGGCTTTCCTCACTGATGAGGATGTTGAAAGTTCTTCTCCCAAGGTATCGAAGACGGCCCCTGAGTCTTCTTCTAAGTCCGCTCAACAACCTCCCACCAAGGAGTCTGAGGATCCTCCATCCTTGAAGGATCTTGGGGATAAGGTGTATACCTTGATGAGGGATGAAGCACATATCCCTTTTGCCTCTCCTTCCAAGCCGAAGAAACCTTCTTCAACTTCTGAAGCTTCCTGTGGTATTTCTCAGGATACTGTGACTTCTCACAATTCTTTTCCTGAATCTGGCCATATGGCATTTGCTTTACAATTTATTAATGAAGGTATCGCTAATTCTGCTAGTGAAAAGGTTGCTAATAACATTATCTCTGGACTTGGAATGTCATCCTTTTCTGATCAGGTTAAGTACAAGGATTTTGATATCTTTGATTCTTCACTGTGTAGACTTGTTCCCAGTTGTGACAAATCTATGTCATCTTTATTGGGAAAAAAGCCAGTAGATGGTCTTCGTCTCACTTAACCTGTTTGGTCAAAGACTGAGAATCTCCTTCGTAGTGCTTCTCAAGTTCTTGGCACAGCCGAACATTTTCTAGCTGCAACCGGACATTTGCTTAACAGCGAAGATTCGGTTGTTCCATCAGAAGTTCGATCCTTCTTACTTCAACTGGATAAAGCTCTAGGTTCATCTCAGTTGCTTTTAATGGGTTCTATTGCTAATTGCACCCTATCTAAAAGAGCAGAGTTTCTTGAAAACATTTCTGTTGCTGAGCCTTTGAAAGATTCTTTACTGAAATCTCCACGTACTGACAAGATGTTTGGTTTACCCTTACAGCGGGTTCAAGAGGAACTCAGCAAAAACCCTCCTCCAGTCAAAGTTAGTGTACAAGTTACTAATGGCAAGAGGTCGGTTAATGCTACATCTAGTTCTACTAGTACTTCTGCTTCAGGTGGTCCTCCTTCTTCTGCTAAGAAAAGGAAGAATTATTACGGCATACCGCAGAACAAACCCCATAACTCCGGAAAAAGCTCAGGTAAGCCTTCTGGTGGTTTTAAGGGTCCCAAGAAACCTGGGTCTAGTACCTAGGTTCTTGCCCCCTCGTACGTTATTGACAGCTTCCCCAGGGGAATATTTACAACAAGTTCCTCAAAAATCAATACCAGTAGGGGGGAGGTTAAGTTTTTTCCTAAATCAGTGGAAGAAAATTACCTCAGACTGTTATGTGCTGTCAATAATTCGAGGGGGATTAACACTTCAGTTCAAGAACCCACCTCCTCTGTCTGCAGTTCCGATAAGTTTGACTCATACTCAAGACCCAGTCAAGTATCAACTTCTATCAGTAGAAGTGGACACAATGTTACAAAAATCTGCAATAGAGGAGGTGTCGCTCTTAACTCTGTCTCCGGGATTTTATTCCCGTCTTTTTCTGGTTCCAAAGAAGACTGGAGGAATGAGGCCGGTCAAAGACCTATCTATTCTGAACAAATTTTTGATTGTTCCCCATTTCAAAATGGAAACCAACAGATCAATCAGGGCTTCAATCCTTCCAGGAATGTGGACTACTTCTCTGGATCTTTCAGATGCTTATTTCCACATTCCCATTTCCCATACTTACAGGAAATACCTTCGCTTCGTTTGGAACAACAAAGTTTTCCAGTTCAAGGCTCTCCCTTTTGGCCTGTCTACAGCCCCTTTGGCTTTTACCAAAATCATGCAGGCAGCTATAGCTCACCTACATTCCCTGTCTATTCAGATTCATTCCTACCTGGACGATTCCCTTCTCAAGGAATTTTGCCCAATCAAATTGAGGGTTCAGACAGATTTGGTCATCAATTGTTTTCTGTCCCTAGGCTTCATAATCTCTTGGAAAAAGTCAGAGATAATTCCTTCTCAAGACTTTGTTTTCCTGGGAGAACATTTCCTAACCAACGTAGGCCTAGTCCTCCCACCAGAGGAAACATTTACAAAACTATGTCAGAAAACACATTTATTCCTGACGGTTCAATCAGTCACAGCACGTCAATTCTTGCAACTTCTGGGTCTATTGAACTCTCTGGCAGATGTAATTCCATTGGGTCGACTTCACATTCGTCCGCTTCAGTTTTATCTGCACAAATTATGGATTCCAGCTTCACAAGAATGGGAAGCATTGATTCCAATCACTCAGCCTTTATTTCCACATCTTCAATGGTGGTTAGTACGGGAAAATGTAATGAGGGGCCTATGTCTGTCCCCTCAAGTTCCCAGTCTAACATTATTCACAGATGCCTCCACCCTCGGTTGGGGAGCATATCTGGAGGGGCTTACAATCTCGGGAGTCTGGAATCCAGATCTTTTGGAAGAGCATATCAATGTATTGGAAATGAAAGCAGTTCTGTTTGCACTGAATCATTTCCAAATGTCTCTAAAGAATCAGTCTGTCATTCTGGCCACGGACAACACAACAGTTGTAGTTTATCTCAAGAATCAGGGAGGAACTCATTCACCTTCTCTTTATCAGATAGCCAGAGACATTCTCCTTCTGTGTTTTCAACTCCAGGTTCATCTAGTGGTGAGACATATTGCGGGGCACCTCAATATTCTAGCCGACACTCTATCCAGATCCCTTGCTCCAGTAAACACGGAGTGGGAACTACTTCAAGTAGTTTTCAAAGCTGTGACTCTTCATTTGGGGTCACCTCAGATAGATCTGTTTGCGACCAGTCTCAATCACAAACTTCTAACATTTGTGTCTCCGGTTCCAGATCCAAAATCTTTTGCGGTAGACGCAATGAGCCTATCTTGGAAAGGAATGTTCGAGTACGCCTTCCCTCCTTTCAGGTTTCTCTCCCCAGTACTTCAGAAAATAGCAGGGGAAAATTGCAAGATCATAGTTATTGCTCCAGCATGGCCGAAACAGTCTTGGTTTCCAGACCTTCTGCGCCTATCATGTGCTTGTCCTCTAGTTCTACCTCTGAGACCAGACCTTCTGTCTCAAATCAAGGGCAAGGTTCTTTATCAAAATCCAGAAAAACTTCATCTACACGCCTGGCTTCTCTCAGGGTTAGCCTCAGAAAGAGAGGTTTTTCTGAAGGAGCAACCAAGCATCTCACAAAGTCTGTCAGAGACTCCACTAGCATTGTCTATGATGCAAAATGGTCAATCTTCTCAGATTGGTGTAGTGAGCGGGAAATTGATCCTTTCCAAGTCACTGTACAACAATTAGCAGACTTTTTAGTTTTTCTTTTTGAATCCAAAGGATTATGTCCCTCTACTATTAAGGGATATAGATCAGCTATTTCAAGAACTATTCATATTTCTGGTGGCCCAGATTTTGGAAACAATGAGCATATTTCTCTTTTGGTTCGTAGTTTTAGTCTTGAAAGACCA